GTATCGCTTAACGCACGCTTACTTTTGGACCGGGATTTCTAAAGACGTGAGGCAATATTGTACCTCCTGTGATGTGTGCCAGAGGGTAGGCAAAAGGGGGGATCGCCATAAGGCAAAACTATGTCCCCTACCCTTAATTGAGGAACCGTTCAGCCGGGTAGCAGTAGATATAGTAGGGCCACTACCAAAACCCAGCCCCTCTGGGAAATGGTATATCCTGACCGTGGTGGATTACGCCACCCGGTACCCTGAGGCGATTGCCCTAACTAATATACACGCTGAGACCGTAGCCGAGGCCTTGATGAAGATATTCTCCCGAGTAGGGTTCCCACAGGAAATGGTCTCAGATAGGGGGACCCAATTCACGGCTGAGGTTACTCAGCAGTTATGGAGGATATGTGGCATAAAGCCGATCATTAACTCCGCGTACCACCCGCAATCCAATGGATTATGTGAGAGATTCAACGGTACCCTAAAACAGATGCTCCGGACATTCGGAGAGACCCATAAGGACTGGGAACGATTCCTTCCCCATCTGTTGTTTGCGTACAGAGAGGTACCCCAAGAGTCTATGGGTTTCTCCCCATTTGAACTATTATTTGGGAGAAGGGTCCGGGGACCGTTGGATCTCATTAGAGAGCATTGGGAGGGAGAGAGTAGCGCAGATGGGACCCCTATTGTACCGTACGTGCTGGCGTTCCGGGATCGCCTGGAGGAATTGACTCAGGCAGTGCGCACCAACCTCCAGGCCGCCCAACAACGGCAGCGTCGTTGGTATGACAGAGGGGCCAGAGACCGTAGTTTTCAAGTGGGACAGAAGGTGTTAATCCTCAAACCTGTCCGCACCGATAAACTGCAGGCCGTCTGGCAGGGCCCATACCAGGTGGTGGAGCAGAGATGAGACACCACCTACGTGATCGGCCCATGCTCCGGAGTAGGGAAGAGACGCATGCTCCATGTGAACATGCTCAAACCCTACCACGAGCGAACGGAGGACGTGGCAGCTATTTGCACGCCCGCCTCCGAAGATCAGGAGAACCTGCCCCTTCCGATCTGTTAGAGCAGGAGGAGCAGAAGGAGCCCTCCCAGGGGGTTCAGCTGGGGGAGCGGCTAAGTCCTCAAGAGCGTATCCAGGTACAAGAACTGATAGCAACCAAGGGCGCCACCTTTTCTAACCTACCTGGGTACACTCCACTAGCCACCCACCGAGTAGAAACCCCGGGACAGCTTCCCATGCGACAGACCCCCTATCGGATTCCTGAATCCGTGCGGGAACATATGAGGAAAGAAATTGAAGAGATGTTGCAGTTAGGGGTTATTGAACACTCAGATAGCCCCTGGGCATCGCCGGTAGTCCTGGTTCCCAAGAAAGACGGTACCACTCGGTTCTGCGTGGACTACCGGAGGTTGAACGACAAAACCGTGTCGGACGCCTACCCGATGCCTCGGATAGACGAGCTGCTAGATAGGATGGCCCGGGGTCAGTATCTCACTACAATAGATCTTTGTAAGGGGTACTGGCAAATTCCACTAGCCGAGGACGCCATTCCCAAGTCGGCGTTTGTCACCCCGTTTGGCTTGTACCAATTTCGAGTCATGCCATTCGGGATGAAAAACGCCCCCGCGACCTTTCAGCGGATGGTGGATCGGCTACTGGACGGGTTCCAGGATTATGCGTGTGCATACCTGGATGATATTGCCATCTACAGTCAGACCTGGTCGGATCACTTACAACATATAGGGGCTGTAATAGATCGGATCCGGGAGGCAGGGCTTACCTTAAAACCCAGTAAATGCCATATAGGGATGGCCGAGGTCCAGTACTTAGGGCACCGGGTTGGTAGCGGGCAACAGAAGCCCGAGCCCGCAAAGATTGATGCTGTAGCCCAGTGGCCCACCCCTAGGACCAAAACCCAAGTTCTTGCTTTCCTGGGTACCGCAGGGTATTACAGAAAATTTGTGCCCAACTACAGTGCCCTGGCCAAACCCCTGACTGATTTGACGAAGAAAAACCTGCCCAGGGGGGGCGGAGCCTGAACGCCGGAGGGAACGGTCGCAAGAGAGACTAGCTCCGTGCCCTAAACGAAGTCACAACTGCATAAAATAACCCCCCCTTACACCAGGACCATCGGAACCCACCCTGAGCACGTATGGGCCGAAGGGAGAAAAAAATGGGCCCACATCGGGACTTACGCTAGGGGAAATGTGGAGTCAGGCCCGGGGCGCCTGCGAGTCAAACATGGCTGCGCTGCATGGCGGATGCTCGGACTTCTCCGAGGAATTATCCGACGACATGGAGGAAGACTACACACCGACTCCCAACCCCAAGCAAAAGGTACCACAACAGGGAGCCGGGACAGACTCTAAACCAGTTACCACGGCAGTCCTCAAAACACTGCTAGCGGACCTGCAGAAACACATCCACGAGGATGTCACAGCGCTCCGCACGGACATACAAGGCCTGACAGGCCGCATCTCCACTCTGGAGGGAGCCTCACAGGCCCAGGCCCAGGACGTAATTGCACTGCAGCACTCCATACAGGAGCTGCAACAACAGAACCAACAACTTGAACGTCGCATGGCAGCACAGGAAGACTCCAGGCGGCAAAATAATATCAAGATCAGGGGAGTCCCTGAAGAAATAGCGGAGGCTGATCTGCCAAAAGTCATGGGACGCTTACTGGCAGTGATTCTGACAAACAGTCAAACCATAATACCTGCCCCAGAGGAGGTCTTTAGGGTCCCTAAACCTACGAATGCTCCAGCCACAGCCTCAAGAGATGTGATAATCACTCTCCGCAAACGAAAAGAAAAAGCAACAATTCTTGCAGCCCTACGGGGAAGAACCCCCCTCCGCTTTGAGGCCATGAACCTGACGTTCTACCCGGACCTCTCTAGAGGCACCCTGGCCTGGCGTAGGTCACTCAAGCCGATCACCGCCGTGCTCCAGTCCCACAACATCGAGTATCGCTGGCGATCCCCAAGGGCACTAACGGTGAAACAAGGGATGACTACGCATATCATCCAGGACATGCACGAAGCACGGGCCTTACTGCAGACTCTGGGCCTGCCACTTGAATCCCTCACCCAGGCGGAGTTAACCAACGATACTCTGTCAACCCATACCAGGACACCGGGCAAGGCCACATCACTCACTCCCCGAGACTCCACACCGATTACCTACGCAGCGGTCACATCCTAGGAGCGACACCACACATGCTCCGGGGGCACCCGACACAACACCAGACACTGGGATGGTAATAAATACGAAGTAAACGGGACCGTCCACAGTACCCCACAGCTACCCGACCAACAATACGACTTACCTTACCAGTAACATAGCCGGCTAACGCTAACTCCAAGATACCGATGACTACAGCTTTGCCCTATTCTCGACCACTACGGACTCTAAAGGGCCCACCACAGAAAAATAACATGGGGACTATATATTACTCTGGGACATCTTTACCCATACTCTCGAGAGCATTGTACGCTCTATGCTTCCTGCCAGCCACTCACAAGAGTCCCATTCCCGGAGACATCACCACTCAATTCTTACTACACTGGTTTCGTTAATCCTGATGCAGCGGGTTAAACTTTAACATACCTGTGATATAGTGTAAATATGTTTTCGAACTCGTATTTCTTACTATGACATGCTACCTAGCCCCTCCAGCTGCCACAGGTGTTTAGACATCCGCTAACCAGTGATACCATAAAGCAGTCTGTCATGTTTAACCTGTTTATAGTTAACCTGTTTAAGCATAACACGCAAGTCATACACCTTTTAAAAGGCGTAAAGATAAAAAAGCTGCCCGAAGTTTCGACTTATACTTTACTTCTGAACGTATGTTTCCTTAAAGCCTTTATTGTTATTAGATCCAAAATTAATCAGACTTAAGCCTTATATACGGGACCCCCCAGAGGCGATATAGCTATGCCGAGCCGAGGCACTGGCTGACAGTGCCATGTGCCCTCGAGCAAGGTACCTATGCCCCCCTCAGGAATTACAGTCATACCCAGTTCGCCGGCACCAAAGCAGGCAATGTTTCACAGTTAATTTTATGCCAACTCGTATCTCGGCAGATTACATTTACTCATCTCTCTAGCTCCCCTCCCTTATTTAACCGAAGCTAACTTACTGATTAATCTTTGTGTTTTAACTAGCCCACATATATAGCGGAACTTCGTACAAACTGCTCATGGCAAGCTTCCCTCGATATGGATACCTACAGTATAAGTGTCGTCAATAGCCTAAAAATGTCTTAACTAAAACTTGCTAACCTGTTTCATAGTGACAATCTAACCTTAATTTCATAATGTTATTGCTCTAGCTCTAAAAATAACTGCCAACCCACTCAACATATCCTTTAAACCTGTGGGTACCTAGGAATGTTATATCAATGCCTAGAATGAAACAAAATCTGTTGTTGAACTCAAAACTATATTGATAATAGTTTGTTTACTCTACCACTACTTATCTTATTTTATTTTAAAAATGTATGTAAACTTAACATGCCACACAACTGTTATAACTATGACTAGTGAACCTGCTAACGCTGTTGTGGCGATACAGGTAATGTTGTACCTACTTGCATACCAAAAATAAAGAATTTAAAAAAAAAAAAAAAAGAAAAACCTGCCCAGGCAGGTCGTCTGGGCCCCAGAGTGTGAACAGGCATTCAACCAGCTGAAGACAGCTCTGACCAATGCCCCTGTACTGGCTGCTCCTGATCCAACTAAACGTTTTCTTGTTCACATAGACGCCTCAATGTTTGGATTGGGAGCAGTACTAAGCCAGGTCAGAGCCGATGGCGGAGAACACCCCGTAGCATACTTGAGTCGGAAACTGTTACCCCGAGAGGTGAGCTACGCCGCCATAGAAAAAGAATGCCTGGCCGTGGTGTGGGCCCTGAAAAAGTTACAGCCATATCTCTATGGGCAACCCTTTTCTTTGCTCACAGATCACAACCCGTTGGTGTGGCTAAACCGTGTGGCTGGAGACAATGCCAGGCTGCTGCGCTGGAGTTTGGCGCTGCAGCCCTTTGACTTTACGATACACTATCGCCCAGGGAAACAAAACGGCAACGCCGACGGGTTGTCCAGACAAACAGACCTTGAAAAGTGATCTGTGAGCACTCCCCCGGACATCCCCAAGCCGATCCGTTGGGATCAGACTGTGTATGCCGGCTTGGTTCTGGGGGAGCATTGTGGCAAACCTAGCCACTTGAACTATAACTAAGAGACTGTGCCTTTAAGGGTTGCCTACAGGTCTGGGGATATATACGCTTTACTTTTATGTATGTGCTTAATGTATTTTCTGCAGTGCTGTAATGATCTGTTTCGCCGAATGCAAATGGCAGTTTGTATGGGGGTTCCCGTTCGTTTCACGAACGGCACTTTGGAGGGCCGTTCGTGAACCGAACGCGATACCCCCTAATAGCCCACACACTTAGAGGCGTGTGGCGCTAGTTAACCGATTGCAACAATGTTGCAATTGGTAATTAGAGGCTCTCCTGGGTGGCCGTCGTTCGACTACCGACCATGCGGCTGTCGGCCATCTTGGATCCTTTGTTCCCTCAGCGGGGTTATGCCGTCGAGCGCCTGGTACTAAAAACGGCTACTCGACGGCATGAGCCCCGCTGAACCTCCAGGGCGTTCGGGAGTTTCGGGACATTCGGTATTTTGTTCCCTAAAAGCAATCGGTTCTTTTTATATATTTTATACGAATTGTGTTGTTCGTGCGGCGTTCGGTTATTTTAGCTGGGATCTGAGCGGTAATCTCACGAATGATACCCTCAGACCCCAGCTATCTACCGAACGTCCATTCGTGTAAATCCACTGTATATTCACCAAGTTATGGGTTTTTATGTGAATTGTCGGTTCTGCTGCACGAGGGGATAATCCACTTAACGGTGCATTCTGGGAAGATGATCCCTCTCGTGCAGCAGTGCCTGATGGGAGAAATATGCAGTAATGTAAGTTCCCCATGTAGTCCCCTCTGGGAGTGCCCCTGGGGAGGGACTCAGGAAACCCCTTGCATGGGGACTTGTATAAATTGTCCTGCTGATTAAAAGGTTGTCAGTTGACTCCCAGAACTGTGTCTCGTCCGGTTATTGGGAGGTTGGGGATATTGCCTTGTTGTTTCAGCGCTTGACTGTGGATTCGTTTCTGAACCAGCGGAATTCGTGGATTTATTATTGGCGTTCCGCTACAGTTAGCTCCTGGATTTTTGCTACTATTGTTTTAATACAACACAATTTAGATACGCTGTTTTTATAGGTTTTTGGTGGATTCCTATTCTTTTCCAGTTTTAGAGCTTTATACACATTTTTCCCTCCTTTCTTTTTCTGTACATTTTTGTATTAGAATTTACCCCATTTTTGCAGACTTTGCAGGACTTCACTGCGGCCTACTGCTGGAATCGAGGATGGGGAGGCGGTCGATCCTTGGCCTTGATTTGCAGTCTTGCACCCTGTTCCTCCCCCGCCCCCTTTGGACCAGTGGGGGATATCCCGGTCCCCACTGGTGTACCTACGAGGTCATACCTCCAAAATCTACAGCCACCCGGCGAGCTGAAGGGCCGAAGCCTGGCAATCAAAATGGCTGCTCCACCGAGGTTTGCAGAAACAGACATCTCCCTGCAGATGTGCATGCATGTGGACAGGTTCCTCATGGCATTTGACGATATCTGTGAGCCCTTTTAGGCAAAGCTCAAGGATCGAAGAAGTCGCAAGCCTCCATGCTCTTGCTGCCCCAGCCGCAGCCCCTCTGTGCCATCCCGTGTGCAGAAGTCGCAAGCCTCCATGCTCTCCACATCTCCCCAAGGAGTCTAGGAGGAGGCGCGTGAAACCATCGCGGTGGCCAACCATCACCAGCCGCACTGACCCTCCTGCCTACTGCAACATACATCACCTATGGCAAAGCGAACCCCTTCACCTGCAGTACAACCAGCCTCATAGGGAGGCATATACTCCAAGCCACATGACCAGAGAAGCAGAGGTGCCAAATAATCAATCTCCAGCTATCACAGTAAGACACATACCACAGGACTGGTTGGCTGTCTGGAGCGGATGAGGGAGCCTCCTGGGAATAGCTGACAAAGGGGACAGATGGGACTCGCTTGGCGTCGGCTGAGGGGTCCACAAGACTTTCCAGTAGTCTAGCAGTTCTCTCACTGTTTGCATAAGCACCATGTTAGCTGCAGCCCTGATATTTAAGTTTTTCTATGCTTTGACTACATGGCTACAAGAATCTACCCTACCTACCCAGTGGAATATTCTTGTTGTTATCTCATATAGCTCTATCCTACACCTCCTCTTACTCTCTCCTCGTTCAATCTCACAGAATGGTGCTCCTACTGTCTTCCTATGTTTCCTCTTCATTGATTTAAAATGTGCACAGTTATTCATGCCAAACAATTGTCTTTATACCTTACACTACTATTGAAACACTGGCAACAGCTGTTGTGGCATAGCTAGCTTATATGTAATATAACCTGTCATTAAATATGTCTTATAATACAGCCAGTTAGAATGACCAGACCGCTGTTACATGACTCCATATTGAAATATTGACCATTCTGTTTATTATTCAGCTTGATTTTACTTTTAAAAATTGTGCAGTTACTTCATATACCACGTCAATACTATATCTAACCTGTAACATGAATCGCTTGCTACTTCTGTTGTGGTATTCGCAAGCCTATATGTAACCACATGCACAACAAAAATAAAGAATTTAAAAAAAAATGATAAACAAATTTTATTTTTTATTTTTTCATATACAAGATTTTTTTTTTTTCAAAAACAACTGTAGGTTAGGACACAATATAAGTAGACATTTTGTTGACAACAATAACCAATTGTTAACAGACAATAACCAGCTGTTCATCTTAAAGTGCCCCATGCTCAACAACCGGTGTAACACGATATACTTGATAAGTATAAAGAATTACATCTTACAATTATATGACGGAGGGAAAAAGAAGAAGAAAAAAAATGACTAAACAAATAATTTAACATAAATTAAATACAAACACATACATATTGTCAGAGTATTTATATTGGCAGACATTTTGTGCTATGATAGAAACTAAAAGTGTATATTCTGAGTCACTCTGAACAGACCAGACTCCATTTTGTTATTTCAAGTTAACAAAGAGACACAGTATTTCTATCTGCAAGCTAACCACTTTCCCAGAGCTGAGGAATGCATAGTATATACAAGCCAAGTGATAAGGAAGGGGGTTGGACAGACTGTCTAATGCTAATGGAATATAATCAAATCTAAACCCAGACAATTGTGACAGAGAAGATTAAATTTAATATTTAACTGTCTATATATATAAGGTACCATTGTATGGGAAAGGGTAAACTTAGTTCATGATCTGCCATATCAGAAAAAAAAAACTCAGATTTGCAGACACATAGTCTGGACAAAATTTAAGAACCCCTTTGATCTTTGAAGGATACGTAAGTTATAGCCACTATCTAGATAGGCCAAAATGACGTCAAAATAGCCACCAGGAAAAGTTAACTCTTTCCTGGATAGGTATGTTTAGTGGGACAAGACTGCCCTCTATAGACCAAATAACTAATTTGCGATCTGGAAGATAACCACACCTCTAGTGCTTCTATTGGGTTATCAACTGATGACGTACAGAGAGTCTGGCCCTTTAAAAGTTAAGACAAAGGGAAGATAGAAAAAAGACGAGAGAGGAGGCAGATGCAAGATATGCAAAGGAGAGGAGAGAGGAATTGGAAGTTTGGGGACTCCAACTCGGACAACATCTGAGAATAACACTCTACTCCTAAAACTCTAACACTTAGAATTTACTGACTTTCTAACCAACACCTCCATGCAGAGAGACTACCAATCGGATGAAATATCTACTCAACTGGTAATTATACTGGTTTCATTTAATTAAATTAAATTAATTAAAATGTATTAATAGCATTATATATGACTGGATAAAGCACGGTCAGATTTCCATATTAAGAAATCTTAGTTAACTAAAGAATATATAGTTATAAACATTCCATTCTGCAGGTGGAATTAAGAATAATTATATATTGATGTGATATTATCACGTGTTAGCATACCGCTGTTTTTATCCAGGTGTATTGATTTGCTCTAAATTAAGATAGATATCTTTTAGACAAATTAAAAATCTGCTTATATAATATGTAGATTCTCTTATTGGATGGTTTAAGAAAATGAATTTAAACTGGATTAAATGTTATTTTATTTAAAAATTACATAAGAATAGATCTTAACTACCTAGGAGATCTAGCCAGCATTGAAAGGGTTATTCTAACTGTCTGCTAAACTTTACGACCTTACGCTGCACTCTGAGGAATTCTGTTCTTCCTGTGAAAAGTTTCACTTTCAGCCTGTGTTAAAGATAGTCATAAATAATTCTTGACAGGAAATGCTATTTAGCCATTGTAACGTAATACCCATTTCTTTGTATTGCATATAATTTTGTACTGGATATTCATTGATTATTGTTATGCATGTTACATAATATTATTTGTTAATTATTGGTTATCATAAATAAAATCTATTTTTATACATTGTGATATTAATTATATGAAATACATTCCACTTAACACGATAAACGTTCTTTGGGATCTGAGAATTGAATTAGTGGGCAATTCTCACTGTTACTATTATTATCCCATAAATATCCCCACATATTGGAGGCACGGTGCTGAGATCGTTTAAGTTGAAATTGTATTTCATATATAATAATAATATTGGTGTAATTCATGCAATTTAATCTTAATATAGAAAAGAGTTTTGTATTGAGATTAATCAATAAAATAAAAATAAAAATGGCCAGTGGCAGTGATAAATCTGTAACAGATAATACTGAAATAATTGAAGACCTAAGAAAACATGCTCTAGTTCATATTCATAAACATATGAAAAATGATGCAACCTATGAGGTTTGGTTGAAAAGCATAGAATGGGAAGCTAAACAAACCATTCTAACTGATGAACACATCATCATATATCTTAAAGAAATTGCTGAACAAAAGAACATAGAAAGGAAAATGGCGTACATAATACACTCTTGGCCTTTCTTTATGACAGCACTTCTTAAGGTGTGTGATGAAAACAAGTCACTGAATGCCAAATTGGACACGTACAGTGACGATTTGGGCATTCAAAATGGGAAATACCAAGATTTACTTGCTGAGCATAA